CCCCAAAACCCCAAAACCCCAAAACCCCAATATTAAACTATAATATTGAAAAACCAATCTCAGCAAAAAACCTTCCTCAAACAATTTTTCAGGTCTACAAAAACCCACACACCCTAAACCCCATTTAAAACCCGTCAAGATCCCTCCAAACACATTTTACCTCTCTCCCAACCCTAAAAATCTCTTTTTTCTAAAAATTCACCCAAAACCCCTTAAAATCCCTATTAAAACCTTAACGCACAAGTTACAATCGGCTTATCCACAAATGCTGCTCCTCTGTACCTATTATTTCTCAGCCCAGTCTAAACCATTAGCTTAAAATACTCACAAATGGTGATTTCGGAGAGTCTCTGTTCTGGGTGCTGGTCAAAGAGCTGTACAGAGTCTTCGGATCTGACCAGGCAAGTGAAGGCTGAAGCTTTTGTTTTAGCTGCAGATTTTTGAGAATGGAGGTTGGGCTTTGGGGCTGAGGGGATGGGTGCTGGGAGGGTTTGCTGTGAGAGGAGTTAGGAGGAGGCTGGGAGTGTGAGAGGGAAGGAAGGGAGGGAAGGAATAGAGCCTCTTTTAAGACCTTAGAAGATTGGATTATTAGAAAAAGTACTTTTTCTTGGTTTGCCAAATTAAAAAATAAACAATTATTTACAAAGTTGTAGTAAATCACTTACAATGCAGCCCATAGAGAAGTTTTACGTTGACTAATATATCTAGATTTCACTCTGATTCGCTTATTTGGGCTTTTATTCTTAAGCGTTTTTCCCAAAATATTGCTTATATCAAATATTTCTGGATCCTTTTCTTTCAAATTAAAAGACTTTATCAGATTGTTTGGTGCTATAAAGTTATCAAAATCTACTCCAACAGAATCGCAAAAATACAAGAATGATAAAACCAAAAAGGAAGGATTTAAGCATGATGTTTTATTCTGACCAATTTTAACTATCTTTAATCTGTAAGCAGACAAGTCTGGCTGCATCATTCAGATCAGATAACTTCTAATCAGGTTTAATACTGAATCGTCACTGAGAATTATGAATATAAGTAATTTTATTGGCAAATAAAAATATCAGATATTATTAATTTTATTCTTACTTTTTTGAGCATTCTTTGTGTTCTTAGAGTCTAAGGTCTCATCTAGCATAGGCCCATTCTTTGGTGGATCAAAAATCTGAATATGAGGTATAAAAATACATTGTATGAGCGGAGTGCTCAAGGAGTGTGCGATTTAGTAGGCCGCCTTTTGCTAAAATGGTTAGAATCGACTTTAAATACTCCTTTTCAATTGCTTTTAAATTCTTCATTTTGCTTACAAGATCTCTACCCAATGGTGGTAGGGACTCTTGGCAAGAATTTGGCCTTGTGCTTGTTTTGCTCTGTAAAATTAGGTGCTATATGGTACCGATCTGAGAATGAGGCAGGTAAGCAACCCTATTTTTGGGGGAACTTTTTAACTTTTGATGCTAGATATCATAATTTATCATAATTTTCTTAAAAATCTCCAAACCCACCTCTTCTATTCATCTTGGCTTTTATAGCTTCTTCTTTTGGCTTAGGAATTAGGACTGAATACATTGGAAAATTCTTCATTTCCTGACCTAGAAGCAGTTACCCTGATTCCGTTACCATAGCTATTTGTTCAGCCCGATTCTGTAGTTATGTAGATAAGTCTTAAATTTTTGATCAGAGGTGAAAATGATTTTGGAAATTTCTTTCCATCCATTTAGTCTATCTGTATTGAAGCTATAGGGAATTATAAGCGCCAAATATGGATGTATCCCTTAGATAAGGAATGATGAAATCTTACTCAAAGCAGGACTCTACTCCTTCAGCCTCAAAGAGCTTATCCTTGTCATATTTGAGCTTGTCAATATTGACCTTCCCATCTGGGTTTATAAAGTTGCATTCATGGTCGATTTCATTGGTCATTGTATTGACTTTGTACATCGGATGATCTTGGGCATCAATCTCGTTGTCTTTCATATTAATATTTATAATTTCAATATTTTTGAATATTTTAGGGGTTTTGGGGTTTTGGGGTTTTGGGG